ACCCTAAACCACCCCTAAACCCTAAGGCAACTCAGGCCAAGCTGAGGCGCTTTGAAATTGCTAGATGCCACTTTGCCATCCACAGTCACCCGGCCTGGGACAGAACAGGGTTTAGGGTTTAGGGCGACTGCCATGGTCCTAGCAACCCTCTCAAGAAATCTGAACAACACTACTGAACAGAACCCCATGGCCCCCCCTAGCCGCAGCTTCTCTCACAACTTGACAGTGGCTTCCCGGTCGATGAAGCAAGGGTTCAGCTGGAATGCCCAGCTTTCAATGCACTGGGTAAGGTGCTCAAGACTGAAGTATCACCTACACCCTAAAATCGAGGTTTCCATATTACACTTTTTGGGAACCCGACTGAACAGTATCAGTAGTTATTCAAACACCTATGTTACCCAGAGAGCCCAATGCCCCCTGACAGAGCAATTAAGCCTTTATCCCCTGTGTAGAATATTCCCCAATTAACGGGCATTTGGTCTCTCTCGAAAGGGTGCAGGGAGCAAAGCCACCACTTGAAACCCCGTGCCCGCAGGGACGCACAATTTCACAGAAGAAAGATCTACAAGCTGCAAGTCTAAAGTGCAGATTGCACTTCTCGATGCAAGTTCTTGGCCCGAAACATCTGCGTCCGGATCCTCTGTCTTATGCTACCCTGCCGGCCCTCAGCTAATAACTATCGACTTCGTAGCTCTCTTGGATCTTGCAGACCATGCTCACCAAGAGGCCTTGAGTAATTGCTTCCCCCGCCTCACCAGCAGCTGCACAACGGGAAATGCAGAGACGAAACCGTTTAACTAAGGGGGATTTGGGGGGTCTCTTGGAACAGGGTTTCGGTTCGAGTGTCTCGCAGTGAGCCGTGGATCTCGGAGCGATTGAAAAGCGTCACACTGACTGGATAGGATCAGCTGAGCTACTGCGAAACCTCGCAGCAGATGCGTAAACCAGGACCTAGCGGATTTTCTAGGCCTCGAACCTTGCCTCCTAGGTCCTAAAGCCCTCGGCCTTAAGTTTTCCAACCTCAGAAGCCGACACTCCTCGGCCCGAAATCCCGAAACTCAATCCACATCCGCAAATCATGAAACCCTCACCGTAAGGGTTTAGGGTTTAGGGTTTAGGGTTAACCCCGAAATCCTTGTTTGTCTGAGCCACGCAAGACCTTGCCAAGTTAGGGTTCGGGGCTTTGCTTTAGTGATTCGGCTTTAGGGTTCATAGGGTTTACAGCATCGTGCAATACAGGGGCCTTCAGAACCAGAATAAGGCTTGCGCGGTTTTAAGTTTGGTAACAAAGAAGCTAAGGAATAGCATTCTAGTGTTAAACAAAAGCACGATGCCTTCTGCAATTCTC